CACACACACACACACACACACACACACACACACACACACACACACACACACACACACACACACTTTAGCAGAGAAATCAACATATTTACAGCCTGTTCTTAAAAAAATCTACAGCTTTTTCCTTTTTCATAGCAACGATATGGACATTTTTATTTTATAATTCATGCAGGTGGAGTTGTTCAGGCTCAGCGCCCCTTGTCCCAGAAAACCAATATGGCAGCAGCTGGAATTCTAAACCTGAGCCTTTAAAATGCAATAGTCCTGAAACCTCTTTTATTCATCTCTTATGTGCAATGTGTAGCTAAATCTTGATGATTTCTGTTTTCAAACAAAGTTTCAGTTGGGTTGACTAAACTGAGTGTGCTCCTTTCACAGATTGCAAAACAGCTAACAAGGCAGACATTGTGTTCATTGTTGATGAGTCCGGAAGCATTGGAGAGGAAAACTTCAGGCTGATGCGTGACTTCCTGCGCTCGGTCATCAGCGGCCTGGAAACTGGTTCATCTAACATCCGAGTAGGCATTGTTACATACAACGACATGCCGACTGCTCATGCCTACCTCAACATGTTCGGAAACAAGGATGATATTTTGAAGTTCATCAACATCCTGCCTTACCGTCAAGGTGGTACAAAGACTGGAGCTGCCCTACACTTCGCCCTGAAAAGCATCTTCACTGAAGAAAAGGGCAGCAGGAAGGATGTCCCGAAGGTAGCGGTGGTAATCACAGACGGTGAATCCCAGGATAATGTGAAGGAACCTGCGATCGCTCTCCGTCGAGCTGGTGTCACAGTTTTCGCTGTTGGAATCAAAGACGCCAATAAAACCGAACTGCTGGAGATGGCATCTTACCCCAAGTCTAAGTTTGTTTTTACTGTGGACAGTTTCATCAAGCTGAAACCCCTGAAACAAACTCTGCAGGCAACCCTGTGCAACACCATCATCCAGATCGGGGTCCAGGACAAGGAAAGTGATGCAGAAACTAAAAAAGGTTTGAACTAAGCTTTCCTGATAAGTTGCCGTTAGTTTTCCCTGAGAAATTTTAACTATTGTAGTAGCATTATTGATGCAATGCTCTGTGTTAATGTTAGAGGTATGTCAAGGTAGTTGATTGGATCTTACCTGATAAATTTCCCAGATAAGAAAAAAGAGTAAGAAACCGCTCATCCATTATTAAGTTATAGTTGTTCATAAGCAGCCTGTAAAAATGCTGGGTGTAAACATGGTTTCTCAAACATTTCTGACTCTGAATGTTCAGTTCAAACTCGCTTTCTTTGACTGTGTGAGGAGATCTAACTCCCATTGTTTGTTTTCTCTTCAGCATGTGATAAAAAGGACCAAGCTGACATTTTCTTCCTGATGGATGACTCAGGGAGCATTATAAATGAAGAGTTCTCAGACATGCAGAAGTTTATCATTGAGTTTCTTCATACCTTCCGTATTGGGCCAGACCATGTTCGCATGGGTCTTGTTAAATATTCAAATTCCCCCTCTCTAGAGTTTGACCTAACACAGCACTCAGATGCTAAGACAATGGAAAAAGTAGTGAAGGACATCATTCACAAAGGAGGTGGAACAAACACAGGAAAAGCACTGTCATCCATGAAAGGACATTTTGAGAATGCAAAGAAGAGCCGTGGCTACAAAGTCTCAGAGTACCTGATCGTCATCACCGATGGAAAATCCCAAGATAAAGTTAAAATTCCTGCAGAAGAATTAAGGACGCAGGATGTCATCATCTACGCCATCGGGGTGAAATCCTCAAATCATAGTGAGCTGAATGATATAGCTGGGGATCCAAAGAGAAAGTTTTTTGTCGATAGTTTTGATGCCCTGAAAACCATCAAAAATAACATCGTCAGACAGATCTGTTTTCCGGAAGGTAATTAACTTTCTTTACTCAGGTAGACTTCATTTTATGGCACACATCATTGAGATAATAAGAGGAGAGGATAGAGAAGAAGACCATAAACTATTTCAAAAACATAGATTAGATGTATATACGTATTCCATTTTCTTATACAGGACTCATAAGGCTAGCACATTCACTTTTTCAGAAGTGCATTCTTTAAAATGTACGTGTGAAAGAACAGAAAATACCGCAGTTCTCTCTGTTTAAGTACGTCTCGAGCACTTGGTTGAGGCTTTTTTAGTTCTAAAACCTAATGGGGAGTTCCAGGTATTTAACCCCAAGTGGAAGTGTCCCCTTTAACATGGTTGCAGTTGACCCAACATCGGTTGAGTCACACGAGCCAATGAAGACCACAGACATCCCCCAGGACATAGTTTGTCATCTCATTGGGAGCAGGCCCCAATGTTGTCAGGCACACATACAATGGGGGACAAATTGAGTAGTAAATGTTGGGAAAATGGACAAGCCTGTCAGGTCAATCCAAATTTCCTAACACATTACCCTGTCCATGTCAGGTCCATATAGATTTGGTCACTGACACAAATTTGTTTTTTTGTGTTTTTTTACCTGTTTACGGAAACAAATTTAATTATAGTTATATGGACATAATGTGTAGATTATCATATTCCTTTGAGGGTATCCATATTCAAACTGGATGAAGGGAGTTTGAGCTCCTTCACATGTGCCGCCCTCTTCTTTTAAGGGATCAAAAGTAATTGGACAAAGACTCAAAGGATATTTCATGTGCAGGTGTGGGCGATTACTTAGTTATGTCATTATTAATTACTAAAAGGCCTGGAGTTGATTTAAGGTGTGGTGCTTGCGTTGGAAGATTTTTCTGGAAACAACACAACATGCTGTCAAAGGAGCTCTGCAGGTGAAACAAGCCACCCTTGAGCTGCGAAAACAGAAGAAAATAAAACATCAGAGAAACTGCTACGATATTAGGAGTGGAGTATTACTGAGCAGAGAAGCTTTCACATGCTCAAAACTGCCAATCCTAGGCTCAGGTAGGCCCTGCAGTTACCTGTAGAAAGGGAAAACCACACTAACCTCTATTTGTTTTTCATCCACAGCTTGTAAAGACACACAAGGGGACATATTTTTCTTAACTGACAGCTCTCAGAGCATCTCTGAGGAAGGCTTCCAAAAGATGAAAGATTTCACGAAATCTTTCATTAGCAAGTCCAGCATTGGACAGGATAAGGTGCACATTGGTGTTATGCAGTACAGCACCAACACACGCCTGGAGTTTGACCTCACCACACACTACAACCTGGAAGGAATGCTAAACACCATCGATGATATGACGCCGATAAAGACAAGAACTCACACTGGCAGGGCCATCACAGAAGTTTCACAGTATTTTGATGCAGCCAGAGGAAGGCGTCCTGGGGTGAAGCAGTGGTTGGTCGTTATGACAGATGGTAAATCCAGAGATAGCGTCAAAGAACCAGCTCAAGCTCTGAGGGCCAAAGGAGTGGTGATCTATGCCATTGGAGTGGATAAGGCTAACAGTAGTAAGCTGTCAGACATCAGTGGCCCATCATCGCAGAGGTTCTTTATTGAGAATACCTTTGATGGATTTAAGGAACTAGGGACCAAGCTGGCCTTGAAGTTCTGTGAGAAAGGTAAGAGAGGCTGTTTTAACCCATCTGTGATGTCAGACTGTCTAAAAAGTATTTTGAAGTAACCAAAGGCATAGAGATGCCTATGGAGATGTTAAATCATCCAGTTAATTAACAATTCAGGTTTTTAAACAATTAAACCCATTAATACCTCAGCATGAATGGCTAATGATTGATTTAGTAAAATAAAAATTAGTTAAAAAAATGTTTTGGCTTCTTTATATTTTAATATGAAAACAAATAGTTGTGTCTGTCTTTGCTAACTTTCTCTCTGCCTCTTTTTCCTTCATCCAGATTGTAAAATAGAAAAGGCTGATATTATTTTTCTGGTTGATGGTTCTGAAAGCATAAATAAAGAACAGTTCAAAAGTATGCACACCTTTATGGCTTCGGTTGTGAACCAGACCACAGTTGGTAAAGATCTGACTCGTTTTGGAGTCATTCTCTACTCCGACACACCCAAAACCAGCTTTACTCTAAATAAAATTTACTCCAAAGGAAAACTTCTTGAAGCTCTGCAGCAGCTGGTACAACCACAAGGAGGCACATACACAGGTGCTGCCTTGGCATACTCGCTGCCGTACTTTAACGCTGAACATGGCGGCCGGAAAGAAATCGGGGTGCCTCAGATTCTCATGGTGATCACAGATGGAGCAGCTACTGACTCTAAGAGATTGAAAGCAGAATCTGATGCTCTGCGACAAAATGGGATCACAGTCATCAGTATCGGAGTGAAGGGCGCAAACAGGGACGAGCTGAAGACCATGGCTGGTGGCGACACATCCAAAGTTTTCTTTGTGGATAATTTTGAGGATTTAGAAACTCTGTACAAGAACATTTCTTCTGTCCTTTGCAATAACACTAAGCGAGGTAAGATGTGTCCAGCGTGAAATATTATGCTCTTTAATTGTTTTTGTCAATTCAATTTTATCTATATAGTAACAGTTACCTCAAGGCGCTTTACATTGTAACATAAAACCCCCACAATAACACAAAGAAAACAGAGAAAAACCCAACAATCACATAACTACGGAGGAGGATCAGGGCCACTGAAAAAAAAAAAGTGGGCACATCTTTTTTTTTTCATTTCCTGAATTCTGAGAAAAAAGTCAGAATTCTGAGAAAAAAGTTAGAATTCTGAGATTAAAGTCAGAAATCTGAGAAAAAAGTCAGAATTCTGAAATT